GAGACGTTTCCATTAGCTGTCAGTCACGGCGAGCCCGCGTGTGCGAGTGTTAGCGTTAGCCTACCTGCGCGCCGATAAATGCCGCGCGGCTGTCGTTAGTCACTGTCCGAGCTCGTCTGACAGTTGCCGCGGTGATGGAGGCGAGCGGGAGATGTACGACAGAAGAAGAGGAGGAAGAAGAGGAGGAGGAGGGTAATGACACAACACAACATAACGACATAAGTGAACGACCATGTGGAGAATGAGGAGCTACTGCTGCGCGGAGGCCTTGCCGCGGTTTCTGATCCGGCGATTCAGATTTTAGGCCATTTTCAGGCTCAACGGCGATGCTGTGGCGAGTTTGTTTTGGACCAGTTTAGTTTAGCCGCTGTGGACTTCAGAATTCACTTATATGAACAGGCCCTAATCTGTCGTCATTAAAGGGCCCTAATCTGTCCTCATTAAAGGGCCCTAATATGTCATCATTAAAGGGCCCTAATATGTCATCATTAAAGAGCCCTAATCTGTCATTATTAAAGGGCCCTAATATGTCATCATTAAAGGGCCCTAATCTGTCATTATTAAAGGGCCCTAATCTGTCATCATTAAAGGGCCCTAATCTGTCATTATTAAAGGGCCCTAATCTGTCATCATTAAAGGGCCCTAGTTTGTCATCATTAAAAGGCCCTAATCTGTCACCATTAAAGGGCCCTAATCTGTCATCATTAAAGGGCCCTAATCTATCATTATTAAAGGGCCCTAATCTGTCATTATTAAAGGACCCTAATCTGTCATCATTAAAGGGCCCTAATCTGTCCTCATCAAAGGCCCTAATCTGTCATCATTAAAGGGCCCTAATCTGTCATCATTAAAGGGCCCTAATCTGTCATCATTAAAGGGCCCTAATCTGTCCTCATTAAAGGTTCCTAATCTGTCATAATTAAAGGGCCCTAATCTGTCATTATTAAAGGGCCCTAATCTGTCATCATTAAAGGGCCCTAATCTGTCATCATTAAAGGGCCCTAATCTGTCATCATTAAAAGGCCCTAATCTGTCATCATTAAAGGGCCCTAATCTGTCATCATTAAAGGGCCCTAATATGTCATCCTTAAAATTCCCTAATCTGTCACCATTAAAGGGTCCTAATCTGTCATTATTAAAGGGCCCTAATATGTCATCCTTAAAAGGCCCTAATCTGTCATCATTAAAGGGCCCTAATCTGTCATCATTAAAAGGCCCTAATCTGTCACCATTAAAAGGCCCTAATCTGTCACCATTAAAGGGCCCTAATCTGTCATTATTAAAGGGCCCTAATATGTCATCCTTAAAAGGCCCTAATCTGTCACCATTAAAGGGCCCTAATCTGTCATCATTAAAAGGCCCTAATCTGTCATCATTAAAGGGCCCTAATCTGGCATCATTAAAGGGCCCTAATCTGTCATCATTAAAGGGCCCTAATCTGTCATCATTAAAGGGCCCTAATCTGTCACCATTAAAGGGCCCTAATCTGTCATCATTATAAGGCCCTAATATGTCATCATTAAAGGGCCCTAATCTGTCATCATTAAAGGGCCCTAATCTATCATTATTATTAAAGTGGAAATACACGGAAATTTTAAGATATGTAAATATGTCTATTGTTGTTTTTTTTTTTTGGGTGTGTTCTTAAATGTGTTTGTAAATGTTTGTGTTGGACAAAATAAACATATTATTACAAAAAGAAGGCACTCGTGAATGGGGCTAATGCAGCTAACACATTCGCAATTTTTTTCATATTTTCCTGCCTCTGCGGCCATTTTGAAAAAGCCACAGAAGGTAAAAGTGGTGGTACATTAGTTTGAACGGCCTGAGGGAGGTCTGAGGGAGCAAGGGTCTTTCCCAAACATCAAATCAATGAAGTTCATAAATCAAGAAAAAAGTTGCAGTTTGCACCAAAACGCCGCAAAGTTCTATAAAGTTTTCAGCTGAAACAAGGTCATCTGAAGTTCTCTCTCCTCAAACTCTCATGAAATCTCTCACATGCGACGTTCCCCATCGACGGCCCGTCCTCAAAAATACATTAAAAACAATATTGACTGTGAGTCTGAAAGTTGGCCTGCTCCCGGTGCGCCAAGACGCAGAAATGGAAGCAAGACTTTTGACAAGATCGCGGGATGAGCCTCTTGGTCTAAGACACGGCGGCCTTTTGGGACCAGAAGCAATAACTGTAACAAGTTTCTGGAATAGAGAATTACTTTTGGATTCTGTTAAACTATTAGTCTCGGTAGAGGGTTAAAACATGGAGATGCAAGACCCCAAGGTTTAAGGTTGTGTCCATTTGGAAAAGCTACCCTCGAAATCATCAAAATAAAGTCAGACAACGGTTGTATGTTTGGTCTTTTTTACATTCTGGCTCGCTGCTGCTACACCTGAGGAGCGAAAACAAAAGAGCCATCTCTACCTGTAGCTCGGCGAGTAGCGCGTTCTTTGATGTGCACGAGAAAAAAGACAGTAGTTTGATGAAAAATGTATGATTTTTGTGTTTTAACTGCGTCCTGTGGGAGCTGCGGCTACCTCTGCTAGCTCCGGGAGAAGAGAGACGCGTAGCTGCAGATGGGAATGGACTTTTACAGCGCAGATATACAAGACTTATCGCTCCTAATGGGTCTAATGATGACCCCCCACCCGGGAAACCAGAATGGGAGACGCATCTTCAGCAGGTGATCAAAAGCCGAGCAGAACCAGGGCCTCGCCAAGCCGTCAACAGCCATTGTGCGAGGGAGACGTGAGGGTTGCGGGTCCGGTGATGTTGAAAGCCGAGGTTGGACATGACTGAAATCTTTATTCCAGCTCGAGTTGGTAACGGTTTGCCCTTGTAGCAGAAGAAAGAGTTGAGCTGGCGGAGAACGGACGTGGAAAGATTGGAGGTTGATGCATTACGGCGAGAGAGGTCAGGAGTTCAGGGAGGGAAAGAGTGAGGCCCTGTGAGGTATGTTGGAATAATCAGCAGCCATTTTGTCTTAGCCATAGAGAATATAGGTTGGGAATAATAATGTATGCATCGCAAGGTTGCATAAGAATAGATTTGATGTGACTCTGGACACACCTCCCAGCCACTAGGACCGCACGGTGAAGCAGGTGAATAAAACGCACGCTATAAAACTATTCAGGACAGGTTGTTCATTGCTATTTACCCACTGCCCCATTGTGTGTATCGTAGCGTGATGATGGGACCACTGAATCTGGCCTCTTTCACATCTGTCTCTGGGAGCTGCCTCAGTCCTGGGTCTACAGCCTCAGTCCTGGGTCCACAGCCTCAGTCCTGGATCTACAGCCTCAGTCCTGGGTCCACAGCCTCAGTCCTGGATCTACAGCCTCAGTCCTGCAGATCTACAGCCTCAGTCCTGGGTCCACAGCCTCAGTCCTGGGTCCACAGCCTCAGTCCTGGATCTACAGCCTCAGTCCTGGATCTACAGCCTCAGTCCTGGGTCCACAGCCTCAGTCCTGGATCTACAGCCGCAGTCCTGGGTCTACAGCCGCAGTCCTGGATCTACAGCCGCAGTCCTGGGTCTACAGCCTCAGTCCTGGGTCTACAGCCTCAGTCCTGGGTCTACAGCCTCAGTCCTGGGTCTACAGCCTCAGTCCTGGATCTACAGCCTCAGTCCTGGATCTACAGCCTCAGTCCTGGATCTATAGCTTGTCCGTTCATGGGAGTGGATCCCTCTCATTGGGAGCCTTCCAGAGGTTCCTCACTGCCTCACATTTTCAGGAAGACTTGACCTTCTAAAGTTTTTTTAAGTGGTTGCTCAATATTTGCCGATGTATCCGGAAAACCTTTTTGTGTATATACTAATAAATATATTTTTCCAGTGAAAGAATGGGCTCTGTCTATTTCCTCTGTTGTCTTCAAACCACTTTTCTCTTGAGGAGAGCAACACAGTCCAATCCACAACAAGTTGCATCCATTACAATTGGATCCACATTTTTTCCACATTTCTGCTCTTTTAATGCAACAAAGGCCGACGTTAAGCCCACTTCCATGACCATATAACGCGATTCTGACTGCGCCCTGCATGGAAAAACTTCTGATAACCATTTGCGTGAAAAGTGACCTACATTCATGGAATCTCAATGGACTCGGAATATTGATAACTAGCCTTGAGTGGAGCTGGGGTTTTGCTTCTCTCTCCCATGCACTGATATGTCTGAGTGGCATTATAATAACTTGTGGATTTTGGATGCTAGAAAAACTTAAAGTGGGGGTCTTAAGCGTGGCCCCGGGCTGGAGATAGTCTGGGAGAGGTCTCCAAGTACACGGCGTACCATTGGCGTCTATCAAATAACCATATTCATGCCACACAAGGCTGCGTTTGCTTCCATTATTCCCCTTTAATCCTCTGTGATAAGAGAGCTTGGTTTATTACGGCGTCACAGAGAAACCCCCTGGGACCTGTTATCGCCACGGAACGGTTTAAGTGAGTTTGTGAGGATTCTGTTTTATTCTTTTTGGCAAATTCAAAATAGCTGCAAGTGTTAATATGAAGAGGACATACAGAACCACATGAGCTACTGCCACTGCCCCACAGCCGCTAATGTACAGACATAAACTTACACCTATAGATCTATGCTCTAGAATGTACAGGATTTAGTACAATAAAGAAGAGTAGAGTAGAGTAGAGTAGAGTAGAGTAGAGTAGAGTAGAGTGGAGTGGAGTGGGGTGGGGTGGGGTAGGGTAGGGTAGGGTAGGGTAGAGTAAAGTAGAGTAGATTAGAATAGAGTAGAGTAGAGTAGAGTAGAGTAGAGTAGAGTAAAGTAGGGGAAGGGTAGGGTAGGGTAGGGAAGGGTAGAGTAGAGTAGAGTAGAGTAGAGTAAAGTAGGGGAAGGGTAGGGTAGGGTAGGGAAGGGTAGAGTAGAGTAGAGTAGAGTAGAGTAGAGTAGAGTAGAGTAGAGTAGAGTAAAGTAGAGTAGATTAGAATAGAGTAGAGTAGAGTAGAGTAGAGTTTACATTACAATATATATATATAGGATTTAGAATAGAGAT